TTGCCCCACATCTAGCCTGCCTTGCCCCACCTCTAGCCTGCCTTGCCCCACCTCTAGCCTGCCTTGCCCCACCTCTACCCTGCCCTGCCCCACCTTTGCTGTGCTCAAGGATCATGATGGGTGGCAGCTACTTGGTCGAATGCTGCTTCAACTCGCATGGCCGGGATAACCACACCCGGTGCTTGGCTCCTACAGGAAGATTTTAAATCACATGACTAACTTACGTGTTCGCTCTCACGCTTCTCTCCTCATTTGATTTGTCCCCACGATGAGTTCCTGCCTCATTACGCTGTGCCTCATTACGTGTGCCTCATTACGTGTGCCTCATTACGTGTGCCTCATTACGTGTGCCTCATTACGTGTGCCTCATTACGTGTGCCTCATTACGTGTGCCTCATTACGTGTGCCTCATTACGTGTGCCTCATTACGTGTGCCTCATTACGTGTGCCTCATTACGTGTGCCTCATTAACGTGTGCCTCATTACGTGTGCCTCATTACGTGTGCCTCATTACGTGTGCCTCATTACGTGTGCCTCATTACGTGTGCCTCATTACGTGTGCCTCATTACGTGTGCCTCATTACGTGTGCCTCATTACGTGTGCCTCATTACGTGTGCCTCATTACGTGTGCCTCATTACGTGTGCCTCATTACGTGTGCCTCATTACGTGTGCCTCATTACGTGTGCCTCATTACGTGTGCCTCATTACGTGTTGCCTCATTACGTGTGGCCTCATTACGTGTGCCTCATTACGTGTGCCTCATTACGTGTGCCTCATTACGTGTGCCTCATTACGTGTGCCTCATTACGTGTGCCTCATTACGTGTGCCTCATTACGTGTGCCTCATTACGTGTGCCTCATTACGTGTGCCTCATTACGTGTGCCTCATTACGTGTGCCTCATTACGTGTGCCTCATTACGTGTGCCTCATTACGTGTGCCTCATTACGTGTGCCTCATTACGTGTGCCTCATTACGTGTGCCTCATTACGTGTGCCTCATTACGTGTGCCTCATTACGTGTGCCTCATTACGTGTGCCTCATTACGTGTGCCTCATTACGTGTGCCTCATTACGTGTGCCTCATTACGTGTGCCTCATTACGTGTGCCTCATTACGTGTGCCTCATTACGTGTGCCTCATTACGTGTGCCTCATTACGTGTGCCTCATTACGTGTGCCTCATTACGTGTGCCTCATTACGTGTGCCTCATTACGTGTGCCTCATTACGTGTGCCTCATTACGTGTGCCTCATTACGTGTGCCTCATTACGTGTGCCTCATTACGTGTGCCTCATTACGTGTGCCTCATTACGTGTGCCTCATTACGTGTGCCTCATTACGTGTGCCTCATTACGTGTGCCTCATTACGTGTGCCTCATTACGTGTGCCTCATTACGTGTGCCTCATTACGTGTGCCTCATTACGTGTGCCTCATTACGTGTGCCTCATTACGTGTGCCTCATTACGTGTGCCTCATTACGTGTGCCTCATTACGTGTGCCTCATTTACGTGTGCCTCATTACGTGTGCCTCATTACGTGTGCCTCATTACGTGTGCCTCATTACGTGTGCCTCATTACGTGTGCCTCATTACGTGTGCCTCATTACGTGTGCCTCATTACGTGTGCCTCATTACGTGTGCCTCATTACGTGTGCCTCATTACGTGTGCCTCATTACGTGTGCCTCATTACGTGTGCCTCATTTCGTGTGCCTCATTACGTGTGCCTCATTTCGTGTGCCTCATTACGTGTGCCTCATTACGTGTGCCTCGTTACGTGTGCCTCGTTACGTGTGCCTCATTACGTGTGCCTCATTTCGTGTGCCTCATTACGTGTGCCTCATTACGTGTGCCTCATTACGTGTGCCTCATTACGTGTGCCTCATTACGTGTGCCTCATTACGTGTGCCTCATTACGTGTGCCTCATTACGTGTGCCTCATTTCGTGTGCCTCATTACGTGTGCCTCATTACGTGTGCCTCATTACGTGTGCCTCATTACGTGTGCCTCATTACGTGTGCCTCATTACGTGTGCCTCATTTCGTGTGCCTCATTACGTGTGCCTCATTACGTGTGCCTCATTACGTGTGCCTCATTACGTGTGCCTCATTACGTGTGCCTCATTACGTGTGCCTCATTACGTGTGCCTCATTACGTGTGCCTCATTACGTGTGCCTCATTACGTGTGCCTCATTACGTGTGCCTCATTACGTGTGCCTCATTACGTGTGCCTCATTACGTGTGCCTCATTACGTGTGCCTCATTACGTGTGCCTCATTACGTGTGCCTCATTACGTGTGCCTCATTTCGTGTGCCTCATTATGTGTGCCTCATTACGTGTGCCTCATTACGTGTGCCTCATTACGTGTGCCTCATTACGTGTGCCTCATTACGTGTGCCTCATTACGTGTGCCTCATTACGTGTGCCTCATTACGTGTGCCTCATTACGTGTGCCTCATTACGTGTGCCTCATTACGTGTGCCTCATTACGTGTGCCTCATTACGTGTGCCTCATTTCGTGTGCCTCATTACGTGTGCCTCATTTCGTGTGCCTCATTACGTGTGCCTCATTACGTGTGCCTCGTTACGTGTGCCTCATTACGTGTGCCTCATTACGTGTGCCTCATTTCGTGTGCCTCATTACGTGTGCCTCATTACGTGTGCCTCATTACGTGTGCCTCATTACGTGTGCCTCATTACGTGTGCCTCATTACGTGTGCCTCATTTCGTGTGCCTCATTTCGTGTGCCTCATTACGTGTGCCTCATTTCGTGTGCCTCATTACGTGTGCCTCATTACGTGTGCCTCGTTACGTGTGCCTCATTACGTGTGCCTCATTACGTGTGCCTCATTTCGTGTGCCTCATTACGTGTGCCTCATTACGTGTGCCTCATTTCGTGTGCCTCATTTGGTGTGCCTCATTTCGTGTGCCTCATTTCGTGTGCCTCATTACGTGTGCCTCATTACGTGTGCCTCATTACGTGTGCCTCATTACGTGTGCCTTATTACGTGTGCCTCATTACGTGTGCCTCATTACGTGTGCCTCATTACGTGTGCCTCATTACGTGTGCCTCATTTCGTGTGCCTCATTACGTGTGCCTCATTACGTGTGCCTCATTTCGTGTGCCTCATTACGTGTGCCTCATTTCGTGTGCCTCATTTGGTGTGCCTCATTTCGTGTGCCTCATTTCGTGTGCCTCATTACGTGTGCCTCATTACGTGTGCCTCATTACGTGTGCCTCATTACGTGTGCCTCATTACGTGTGCCTCATTACGTGTGCCTCATTACGTGTGCCTCATTACGTGTGCCTCATTACGTGTGCCTCATTTCGTGTGCCTCATTACGTGTGCCTCATTACGTGTGCCTCATTACGTGTGCCTCATTACGTGTGCCTCATTACGTGTGCCTCATTACGTGTGCCTCATTACGTGTGCCTCATTTCGTGTGCCTCATTTCGTGTGCCTCATTCGTGTGCCTCATTACGTGTGCCTCATTACGTGTGCCTCATTACGTGTGCCTCATTTCGTGTGCCTCATTACGTGTGCCTCATTACGTGTGCCTCATTTCGTGTGCCTCATTACGTGTGCCTCATTACGTGTGCCTCATTACGTGTGCCTCATTACGTGTGCCTCATTACGTGTGCCTCATTACGTGTGCCTCATTTCGTGTGCCTCATTTCGTGTGCCTCATTACGTGTGCCTCATTTCGTGTGCCTCATTACGTGTGCCTCATTACGTGTGCCTCGTTACGTGTGCCTCATTACGTGTGCCTCATTACGTGTGCCTCATTTCGTGTGCCTCATTTCGTGTGCCTCATTACGTGTGCCTCATTACGTGTGCCTCATTACGTGTGCCTCATTACGTGTGCCTCATTACGTGTGCCTCATTACGTGTGCCTCATTACGTGTGCCTCATTACGTGTGCCTCATTACGTGTGCCTTATTACGTGTGCCTCATTACGTGTGCCTCATTACGTGTGCCTCATTACGTGTGCCTCATTACGTGTGCCTCATTACGTGTGCCTCATTACGTGTGCCTCATTACGTGTGCCTCATTTCGTGTGCCTCATTATGTGTGCCTCATTACGTGTGCCTCATTACGTGTGCCTCATTACGTGTGCCTCATTACGTGTGCCTCATTACGTGTGCCTCATTACGTGTGCCTCATTACGTGTGCCTCATTACGTGTGCCTCATTACGTGTGCCTCATTACGTGTGCCTCATTACGTGTGCCTCATTACGTGTGCCTCATTACGTGTGCCTCATTTCGTGTGCCTCATTACGTGTGCCTCATTTCGTGTGCCTCATTACGTGTGCCTCATTACGTGTGCCTCGTTACGTGTGCCTCATTACGTGTGCCTCATTACGTGTGCCTCATTTCGTGTGCCTCATTACGTGTGCCTCATTACGTGTGCCTCATTACGTGTGCCTCATTACGTGTGCCTCATTACGTGTGCCTCATTACGTGTGCCTCATTTCGTGTGCCTCATTTCGTGTGCCTCATTACGTGTGCCTCATTTCGTGTGCCTCATTACGTGTGCCTCATTACGTGTGCCTCGTTACGTGTGCCTCATTACGTGTGCCTCATTACGTGTGCCTCATTTCGTGTGCCTCATTACGTGTGCCTCATTACGTGTGCCTCATTTCGTGTGCCTCATTTGGTGTGCCTCATTTCGTGTGCCTCATTTCGTGTGCTGGGCCTTGTTCAACATGTGTCCTGTCTATTCTTGCACGCCCTTGTTGGTTTACCAATCGATGGAGAGCTCAGCTCAGAGACCAACCTGCCTTTGCGGCACATCACGCTCTTTAACCTCATGCCTTCAGCTCCCACTCTCCACCTGCCATCCCTCTTATCATCCACCCCCGTTCCCACCCCCCAACACCCCCCGCCATGCACCGCACACACCATCCCCATTGCCACACACGCACCAAGGCAGACAGCACGCCCTGGTGCTTCCACACGTATGCCCTACGCCTGCCACCGCTCTCCTCCTGCCCGCCCTACCCTCGCGTGCACATAAACAGCTCCAGCGGCTCCGCAGTCTCCTCCCACGAAATGAACGTCTGGCGGAAACCAGATTTGCCTCTCTTTAACGGTGACCTCTCACCTTGCCACACCCTCACCTTGCCACACCCCTCGTAGTGACACATGAACTGCCTCTCCCCATGCACGTTCGAGTGCTTCCTCAACCCCCCCGCATCCAGAAACGCCTTTCCGCACCCATCCACACCGCACACAAACGGACCTCCACCCAATGGCCCGCCAACCCCAGCAGCAGCAGCAGCAGCAGCAGCAGTAGCAGCAGCAGCAGCAGCGCCAGCAGCACTGCCAGAAGCAGAGAGACCAAAGCCCAGGCCTGTTCCTATGCTGCTACCACCCCCGCTTGCTGCTGTCACCTGCTCCTCCCCCGCTGCCGCCCCTGCTGCACCTGCAGCACCACTCTGCATGCCACCTGCACCGCTTTGCATGCAGCCCAACCCACTTGCACTGGGCATGGGAATGGCGCTTGAGCTTGCAGCACCTGCTGCAGCTGGGGAGCCTGCAGGGGCCATTCCCGCTGCTGCGGCTGCGCCCATTCCACCCCACGCCCCCCCTCCTCCCCTCCCTGCCTCCCCTACCACTGCTCCCCCTCCGCTCATCTGCATGCCCACACCCCCCCCTCCGTCTGCCCCTCCCCCTGCACCTCCCCCGCCCCCTGGGTATGTGCCCGCACCACCCGCCATACTGCCATGAGCAGCAGCGGGCAGCTGCAGCATGGCCAGCCCCTGCATCGACCCCCCTGCTGCTGCATGTGCGTGCGCCCCAGGCATACTCCCTTGCCCTTGCCCTTGCACCCCCGCCTGCATGCCCCCGGGCATGACAGCAGCAGGGGAACCACCTACGCCAGCGCCAGGGAAAGGCAGTGCGCCGCCGCCACTCCCCTGCGCCATTGCCCCCTGATTCTGCATTCCCTGTCCCAGCCCCAGCCCTAGCCCTAGCCCCTGCCCCAACCCTAAACCTTGCCCCGGCCCCAGTGGGATAGCGGGAGAGTGCGAGCGGGCGTCATGAGGCGGCCCTGATTGGCCTCCACTTGCCCCACCTGCTGCCCCGCCGCCCGCCATTCCTGACGGGCCGCCTGCTGGCATGCCGCCACGGGCGGCAAGGGCGGCAGCAGAAGGTGAGAGGTGGGCGGCGGAGGGCAGGGAGAGGCGGAAGATGGTCGGCCCGCCGCCCGACAGGGAGGTGGGGGCGGCGACAGGGGCGAGAGGAGAGGGCGTTCTCAACGCTGCTCCTGCTGCTGCTGCTGCTCCTGCTGGCGTTGCTGGTGGTGGAGTTGCTGCAAGGGGAGAGCCCCACAGAGTGGGGTCCGCTCCTCCCCCTTGCCCGCCCTGCCCTCCCTGCCATTGCCCTGCCTGCCCCTGCATGGCCCCACCAGGACCAGGGGGCATTTGCTGCTGCTGCTGACCCCCCATCTGCCCCGGCTGCTGCAGCTGCCGCTGCAGCTGCATTTGCATCTGTCCCATTTGCTGGACCTGCCCAGCCTGCCCGTTCACCTGCCCGTAGCCAAAAGTGGGCATCTGCTGAGAGTAGGAGCCCCCATAGGACGAGGGGGCGTTGGAAAGGTTGGGCATGGGCGGCACATGGGACATGCTGGGCATGTTGGGCAGGTTGGGCAGATTTGGAATGTTTGCCATATTTGGCATGTTTGCCATTTGGGGAAGGTTCAGATTGGGCATGTGGGGGAGGTTTGGCATGTGGGTGACCTGAGGCATGTTAGAGAGGCGAGGGGGAGGCGGGTAGTAACCAGGGGAGGCGTTATTTCCCATATAGCCCATACCCATGCCCATACCAGCCCCACCAGAGGCACCAGCAGCGCCACTCGCACCCTGCCACGTGGCACCACGAGGGGTAGCGTTGGCAGGCGATTGGGGGAAGCCGGGGAAGGGGCCTGGCGCGCGGGAGGATGAGGCGGAGGGGGGGGGAGGGGTGGCGGAGGAAGCAGGGGGGAAAGGGGGCGGGGGGAAGGGGCGCAGGTGCGGCATGTGCAGCTGGAAGGGCGAGGCGGACCTGGGCGCGCTGGCAGGAGGGGGGTCCGGCGCCTCTGGGGGAAGGGAAAGACGCGGAAGGGTAGGGGGGAGAGGGGGGAGAAGGGGAGAAAGGGGAGGGGGAAAGGGCAGCACATGGGGCGGGAAGGGAAAGAAGGATTGAGGCATGGAGAGGCAGTTGCTCGCATCTTAACAGCACCGTAAGGGCAAGAAGAGGAGCAGGTGACGGGTGGAGCAGGGGTATGGCTGGCAGGTAGTGGTACTATCACTGTGCGCGGGTAGGTTGTACACTGTGTGTGTGAATGCGGTTGACTCACGTTTGACCCGCTTGACTCACGTTCCGCTTGACTCACGTTTGACCCGTTTGACTCAATTTTGACCCGTTTGACTCACGTTTGACCCATTTAAGTACTTTGCACTTGCCGTTGTTGAGAACCGTCTCCTGCACCACCCTGTAACGCGTATGGAGGGAGCCATAGCGCGCCGAGCACACGAAAGCTTATCAGCTTAAAATATGGGATAAGGGCGTATAAAGGGAGCAGATCAGGGCGAGCAGGTAAAGGGCACGGGGGCGGCAACGCGGGCGGCAAGGACGAGAGAAGACGAGAGAGCACACACACACACTCACAAGTCACAAATTTGGTGCCACGAGTCAACTCACCACTGGCGGACCCATTTTGCTGCAGGCTTGCGCGTGGAGACGGGCAGCGGATGCGGCGGAACGGAGAGCGGATACGGCGGGGCGGAGAACGGGTGCGGGGCGGAAAGCGGGCGTGGCGCAAAGTTGGCGGGAGGCGGGGGGGAGGGAGCCGCCGGGGGAGGGGTGTATGGTAACTGCGGGGGAGGCGGAGAGGCGGGGATGAGCGGAGGCGCGGCGGAAAGGAAGGACCGCGGCTGTGAGGCCATGGCTGCGGGCGCGTGAAACCCAAAGTACAGGTGCACTTAGAAGCGCTTGAATGCGATGCGCTAAGATGTGCCACTACACGTTCGTTACCAGTTACAGTCACTGCCTCTTAAAGCATGCTATGCGCGTGAAGCGTTTCGTTTGAATGCTTTCAGCGCCCTACAAGCACAGCGACAGGTCAGCCTGACTTGTGATTGGCCGATTCGTTAGTCGGTCGCGCGGAACGACGGCATGCACGAGCGCACAGCCACAGGCAGGGTCGATCAGGAGGAATGAAAGGCATGCGCTCGAAGTAGCCGTTGGGAACGCGCAGGCGAACTCTCGATTTGGACGAGTCATGTCAATTTTTAGGGGTAGGACCCAATTACCTCTGGGTGGAGCGGAATGGTCTTGGAAACTCAGTACGCGTCCCCTCCCTCGATCGATCGTGCAAAATTAAGGGAGATCAATCCTCCACCGCACTGAAACCCTGCGTTTGCTAATTTTCAACTTTTTGAACCTCTTTAAACCGAGCTCAGGATCGATCCTACGCAGGATCGATCGAGGGAGGGGACGCGTCCTCAAACCCCACTCACACACCTGTGATCTTGCGTTTCGTTTCGCGTGCTGAACTAGGTTCGATCCCATGGAACAAGAGTACGCTATTGTGAAGCAGATGAGAGAAACTAAATCGTGAGCGGTTTGGGAACGAGGGGTCAAACGAGATTCGCGAAATTCAAGCTCCTCCCTATTTCCCCTCTGCATTCCGTAACCTTGAGTCCCTGAATTCGCGAATTTCACCTGCGAAGAAGTTCGATGCGAGTTTCATTTGTCGCGTCTCGAAACACGGAACGAAACCTTCCCAGAATCGAAAATGCCATTTGCTTTCCAACAGTCTCGCCTTTGTCACACATCCGTCAGCTCCTGCTTATGAGACTACCTCGAAACGCACACACCACTTTGCATTGGGGGCCTGCAGACAGCGATATTGCCGGCGGCTATTCGACGCGAGAAGAGGACCATTTCCATAGCCGCGCCCGCGATTATCATTGCCAGTTGGCCGCAGCATAGCTTCGCGATGCCGTTAGAGAGTCCTCAAAAGAGCTGTGCGATGACGTCAGACTGACAAGGCAGGTGAATCTTGTTATACAAAGGCCTCGCATTGCCACGTGTCCCAATCAGACGACCACGATTGCAAACCCTTCTCACAACATGCTAACACCGCGCCTCCTTATACCGCCTTCTAGTACTCCCCCCTAGTACGCCTCCAACCAGTACCTCGTTAGAATCGCGTCCTCCTATTGCTGCCACTAGGAGTGTCGTTCCTGGTGTTTCCCACAGCCTCGTTCCCTTGACGCCTATCCGCGCACGCGTCTTAGGCCTCCCCGTTACACGCACAATGGCTGCTGCTGCAGCTGCTGATGCACCTGCTAGTGGCGAGTGTCCTTGTATCGAGGACAACGCACCTGACAACTGGCGATGGGCGGCTCAGTGCATGATTTGGCGGATGGAGCCACCGACGGCTGTGATTGAATGTGCTACGTAAGCCACCAATCAGCGTACGGCATCCTATTTTTCATTTCGTTCCTGATTTAGACTTCATGCTTCCATCGCACACAATGCCGCACACCATCCCATGTCATCTCATGTCATCTCATGTCATCTCGTCATCCCATGCCATCCCATGCCATCCCATGCCATCCCATGCCATCCCATGTCATCTCGTCATCCCATGCCATCCCATGCCATCCCATGCCATCCCATGCCATCCCATGCCATCCCATGCCATCCCATGCCATCCCATGCCATCCCATGCCATCCCATGCCATCCCATGCCATTCCAACGCACGGTGCAGGAAAGGACATGAAGGCAATTTGACAGAGGCCGTGCAACAACAGCTAGTGACCATGCTACAGTCACACCCGGTTAGTCACACCACCACTGCCACAGTCACACACGACATTTAGTATCACACATCAGCGTGCTACAGTCACATCTCAGTTCGACCCTGACTGGATTTCCTTGTTGCTCCCCACTCTCTGCTCCCCACTCTCTGCTCCCCACTCTCTGCTCCCCAAACCCTCTCTCTCGCTCTCTCCAGCCGATTTCAAAACTCAACTGAACAATGAGGAAAGATGGGCACTAGCAGGGCTTAAGTAGCCTCAGAGGGCTCAGGGCTGAGGGCAAAGAGCTAAGCTAACCACATCTCTCCCACTCTCTCGCATCTCAATCTCAGCTGTTTACACTCACTCACTTCTCACCGCCCACTTATCTACCTCCATCCCACCCTCCCTCCCCTCCACTACCGCCCCCAGCTAGGTCCTCGTTTCGCTGCTGATCGCGCCTACTCTCTCCGCTTGCTGAAGCTGCTTATAACGGAGGCAGAGAGGGGGCCGCGAGGGGAGGTGTGGGAGGAGCTCTACCCGCTCTATGTGGACGCGCTGGGCGCTGCAAAGGGGAGGGGGGATGGTGGGGAGGGCGAGGAGGCGGAGGAAGGGGCGGAGGTGCAGCAGGAGGGAGAGCCGAGCCATGCTGTAGGTGCTGCCTCTACCCTGCTGGAGCCATGCTGTAGGTGCTGCCTCTACCCTGCTGTAGGTGCTGCCTCTACCCTGCTGTAGGTGCTGCCTCTACCCTGCTGTAGGTGCTGCCTCTACCCTGCTGTAGGTGCTGCCTCTACCCTGCTGTAGGTGCTGCCTCTACCCTGCTGTAGGTGCTGCCTCTACCCTGCTGTAGGTGCTGCCTCTACCCTGCTGTAGGTGCTGCCTCTACCCTGCTGTAGGTGCTGCCTCTACCCTGCTGTAGGTGCTGCCTCTACCCTGCTGTAGGTGCTGCCTCTACCCTGCTGTAGGTGCTGCCTCTACCCTGCTGTAGGTGCTGCCTCTACCCTGCTGTAGGTGCTGCCTCTACCCTGCTGTAGGTGCTGCCTCTACCCTGCTGTAGGTGCTGCCTCTACCCTGCTGTAGGTGCTGCCTCTACCCTGCTGTAGGTGCTGCCTCTACCCTGCTGTAGGTGCTGCCTCTACCCTGCTGTGCTGTAGGTGCTGCCTCTACCCTGCTGTAGGTGCTGCCTCTACCCTGCTGTAGGTGCTGCCTCTACCCTGCTGTAGGTGCTGCCTCTACCCTGCTGTAGGTGCTGCCTCTACCCTGCTGTAGGTGCTGCCTCTACCCTGCTGTAGGTGCTGCCTCTACCCTGCTGTAGGTGCTGCCTCTACCCTGCTGTAGGTGCTGCCTCTACCCTGCTGTAGGTGCTGCCTCTACCCTGCTGTAGGTGCTGCCTCTACCCTGCTGTAGGTGCTGCCTCTACCCTGCTGTAGGTGCTGCCTCTACCCTGCTGTAGGTGCTGCCTCTACCCTGCTGTAGGTGCTGCCTCTACCCTGCTGTAGGTGCTGCCTCTACCCTGCTGTAGGTGCTGCCTCTACCCTGCTGTAGGTGCTGCCTCTACCCTGCTGTAGGTGCTGCCTCTACCCTGCTGTAGGTGCTGCCTCTACCCTGCTGTAGGTGCTGCCTCTACCCTGCTGTAGGTGCTGCCTCTACCCTGCTGTAGGTGCTGCCTCTACCCTGCTGTAGGTGCTGCCTCTACCCTGCTGTAGGTGCTGCCTCTACCCTGCTGTAGGTGCTGCCTCTACCCTGCTGTAGGTGCTGCCTCTACCCTGCTGTAGGTGCTGCCTCTACCCTGCTGTAGGTGCTGCCTCTACCCTGCTGTAGGTGCTGCCTCTACCCTGCTGTAGGTGCTGCCTCTACCCTGCTGTAGGTGCTGCCTCTACCCTGCTGTAGGTGCTGCCTCTACCCTGCTGTAGGTGCTGCCTCTACCCTGCTGTAGGTGCTGCCTCTACCCTGCTGTAGGTGCTGCCTCTACCCTGCTGTAGGTGCTGCCTCTACCCTGCTGTAGGTGCTGCCTCTACCCTGCTGTAGGTGCTGCCTCTACCCTGCTGTAGGTGCTGCCTCTACCCTGCTGTAGGTGCTGCCTCTACCCTGCTGTAGGTGCTGCCTCTACCCTGCTGTAGGTGCTGCCTCTACCCTGCTGTAGGTGCTGCCTCTACCCTGCTGTAGGTGCTGCCTCTACCCTGCTAGGTGCTGCCCTACCCTGCTGTAGGTGCTGCCTCTACCCTGCTGTAGGTGCTGCCTCTACCCTGCTGTAGGTGCTGCCTCTACCCTGCTGTAGGTGCTGCCTCTACCCTGCTGTAGGTGCTGCCTCTACCCTGCTGTAGGTGCTGCCTCTACCCTGCTGTAGGTGCTGCCTCTACCCTGCTGTAGGTGCTGCCTCTACCCTGCTGTAGGTGCTGCCTCTACCCTGCTGTAGGTGCTGCCTCTACCCTGCTGTAGGTGCTGCCTCTACCCTGCTGTAGGTGCTGCCTCTACCCTGCTGTAGGTGCTGCCTCTACCCTGCTGTAGGTGCTGCCTCTACCCTGCTGTAGGTGCTGCCTCTACCCTGCTGTAGGTGCTGCCTCTACCCTGCTGTAGGTGCTGCCTCTACCCTGCTGTAGGTGCTGCCTCTACCCTGCTGTAGGTGCTGCCTCTACCCTGCTGTAGGTGCTGCCTCTACCCTGCTGTAGGTGCTGCCTCTACCCTGCTGTAGGTGCTGCCTCTACCCTGCTGTAGGTGCTGCCTCTACCCTGCTGTAGGTGCTGCCTCTACCCTGCTGTAGGTGCTGCCTCTACCCTGCTGTAGGTGCTGCCTCTACCCTGCTGTAGGTGCTGCCTCTACCCTGCTGTAGGTGCTGCCTCTACCCTGCTGTAGGTGCTGCCTCTACCCTGCTGTAGGTGCTGCCTCTACCCTGCTGTAGGTGCTGCCTCTACCCTGCTGTAGGTGCTGCCTCTACCCTGCTGTAGGTGCTGCCTCTACCCTGCTGTAGGTGCTGCCTCTACCCTGCTGTAGGTGCTGCCTCTACCCTGCTGTAGGTGCTGCCTCTACCCTGCTGTAGGTGCTGCCTCTACCCTGCTGTAGGTGCTGCCTCTACCCTGCTGTAGGTGCTGCCTCTACCCTGCTGTAGGTGCTGCCTCTACCCTGCTGTAGGTGCTGCCTCTACCCTGCTGTAGGTGCTGCCTCTACCCTGCTGTAGGTGCTGCCTCTACCCTGCTGTAGGTGCTGCCTCTACCCTGCTGTAGGTGCTGCCTCTACCCTGCTGTAGGTGCTGCCTCTACCCTGCTGTAGGTGCTGCCTCTACCCTGCTGTAGGTGCTGCCTCTACCCTGCTGTAGGTGCTGCCTCTACCCTGCTGTAGGTGCGGCCTTGCCTCTACCCTGCTGTAGGTGCTGCCTCTACCCTGCTGTAGGTGCTGCCTCTACCCTGCTGTAGGTGCTGCCTCTACCCTGCTGTAGGTGCTGCCTCTACCCTGCTGTAGGTGCTGCCTCTACCCTGCTGTAGGTGCTGCCTCTACCCTGCTGTAGGTGCTGCCTCTACCCTGCTGTAGGTGCTGCCTCTACCCTGCTGTAGGTGCTGCCTCTACCCTGCTGTAGGTGCTGCCTCTACCCTGCTGTAGGTGCTGCCTCTACCCTGCTGTAGGTGCTGCCTCTACCCTGCTGTAGGTGCTGCCTCTACCCTGCTGTAGGTGCTGCCTCTACCCTGCTGTAGGTGCTGCCTCTACCCTGCTGTAGGTGCTGCCTCTACCCTGCTGTAGGTGCTGCCTCTACCCTGCTGTAGGTGCTGCCTCTACCCTGCTGTAGGTGCTGCCTCTACCCTGCTGTAGGTGCTGCCTCTACCCTGCTGTAGGTGCTGCCTCTACCCTGCTGTAGGTGCTGCCTCTACCCTGCTGTAGGTGCTGCCTCTACCCTGCTGTAGGTGCTGCCTCTACCCTGCTGTAGGTGCTGCCTCTACCCTGCTGTAGGTGCTGCCTCTACCCTGCTGTAGGTGCTGCCTCTACCCTGCTGTAGGTGCTGCCTCTACCCTGCCCTGCCTTGCCCCACCTCTAGCCTGCCTTGCCCCACCTCTAGCCTGCCTTGCCCCACCTCTAGCCTGCCTTGCCCCACCTCTAGCCTGCCTTGCCCCACCTCTAGCCTGCCTTGCCCCACCTCTACCCTGACCTGCCCCACCTTTGCTGTGCTCAAGGATCATGATGGGTGGCAGCTACTTGGTCGAATGCTGCTTCAACTCGCATGGCCGGGATAACCACACCCGGTGCTTGGCTCCTACAGGAAGATTTTAAATCACATGACTAACTTACGTGTTCGCTCTCACGCTTCTCTCCTCATTTGTCCCCACGATGATTCTTCCCTGCCTCATTACGTGTGCCTCATTACGTGTGCCTCATTACGTGTGCCTCATTACGTGTGCCTCATTACGTGTGCCTCATTACGTGTGCCTCATTACGTGTGCCTCATTACGTGTGCCTCATTACGTGTGCCTCATTACGTGTGCCTCATTACGTGTGCCTCATTACGTGTGCCTCATTACGTGTGCCTCATTACGTGTGCCTCATTACGTGTGCCTCATTACGTGTGCCTCATTACGTGTGCCTCATTACGTGTGCCTCATTACGTGTGCCTCATTACGTGTGCCTCATTACGTGTGCCTCATTACGTGTGCCTCATTACGTGTGCCTCATTACGTGTGCCTCATTACGTGTGCCTCATTACGTGTGCCTCATTACGTGTGCCTCATTACGTGTGCCTCATTACGTGTGCCTCATTACGTGTGCCTCATTACGTGTGCCTCATTACGTGTGCCTCATTACGTGTGCCTCATTACGTGTGCCTCATTACGTGTGCCTCATTACGTGTGCCTCATTACGTGTGCCTCATTACGTGTGCCTCATTACGTGTGCCTCATTACGTGTGCCTCATTACGTGTGCCTCATTACGTGTGCCTCATTACGTGTGCCTCATTACGTGTGCCTCATTACGTGTGCCTCATTACGTGTGCCTCATTACGTGTGCCTCATTACGTGTGCCTCATTACGTGTGCCTCATTACGTGTGCCTCATTACGTGTGCCTCATTACGTGTGCCTCATTACGTGTGCCTCATTACGTGTGCCTCATTACGTGTGCCTCATTACGTGTGCCTCATTACGTGTGCCTCATTACGTGTGCCTCATTACGTGTGCCTCATTACGTGTGCCTCATTACGTGTGCCTCATTACGTGTGCCTCATTACGTGTGCCTCATTACGTGTGCCTCATTACGTGTGCCTCATTACGTGTGCCTCATTTCGTGTGCCTCATTACGTGTGCCTCATTTCGTGTGCCTCATTACGTGTGCCTCATTACGTGTGCCTCGTTACGTGTGCCTCATTACGTGTGCCTCATTACGTGTGCCTCATTTCGTGTGCCTCATTACGTGTGCCTCATTACGTGTGCCTCATTTCGTGTGCCTCATTACGTGTGCCTCATTACGTGTGCCTCATTACGTGTGCCTCATTACGTGTGCCTCATTACGTGTGCCTCATTACGTGTGCCTCATTTCGTGTGCCTCATTTCGTGTGCCTCATTTCGTGTGCCTCATTTCGTGTGCTGGGCCTTGTTCAACATGTGTCCTGTCTATTCTTGCACGCCCTTGTTGGTTTACCAATCGATGGAGAGCTCAGCTCAGAGACCAACCTGCCTTTGCGGCACATCACGCTCTTTAACCTCATGCCTTCAGCTCCCACTCTCCACCTGCCATCCCTCTTATCATCCACCCCCGTTCCCACCCCCCAACACCCCCCGCCATGCACCGCACACACCATCCCCATTGCCACACACGCACCAAGGCAGACAGCACGCCCTGGTGCTTCCACACGTATGCCCTACGCCTGCCACCGCTCTCCTCCTGCCCGCCCTACCCTCGCGTGCACATAAACAGCTCCAGCGGCTCCGCAGTCTCCTCCCACGCAATCGCCCCCACCGCGGGCTCCTCGTATGCGCTCACAGTGCGCGTGTCCCGTGACATGCTGAGAGGCGCCACCGGGTGAGCAGCACTGGAACCCTCAACCCTCAACGCTCTTCTCCTTCTCCCTGCTCCTCGCTCCTCGCCCCTCCCCTGCGCTATGCTGCTGCTTCGATGCGCCATTGCTTCCCTTTTCCACACGCGTCTACCTACCTGGGCACATGCACATGCAAATGCATCCCCATGGCACCCTGTTGCCACACATGCATCCCCATGGCACCCTGTTGCCACACATGCATCCCCATGGCACCCTGTTGCCACACATGCATCCCCATGGCACCCTGTTGCCACACATGCATCCCCATGGCACCCTGTTGCCACACATGCGTCTAAACTTCTCGCGCTCGTCTACATGCCTCGCCCCTTCCCTTCCCCCTGTGTCCCCCCATGGAACCCATCTCCTCTCCCCCGTCAGCTGCACGGCATGGCCGGCCTCTCTCTTCCTCGCAGAGGCCCTCCTCTCGCACCCGACTCTCCTCCTCCCCTCTGACCACCGCCCCTCCACGCACTCGCCCTTTACACCCACCCCCGCGCCTGCTGACTCAACCCAAGGGGCACCTGCCGCCCCTGTTGATGGCGCTGCGGTGGGAGCCTCTAAGGGCCCTGGCAGCACGCCGGTGGCTGGGGAGCCGCGCCCTGTGAACGCACCGGTGTGCCTGGAGCTGGGGGCGACTTTTGAGTCGACTCAAATGTCACCGCGCCCTGTGAACGCACCGGTGTGCCTGGAGCTGGGGGCGGGCTGTGGGCTGCTGGGGCTGTGCCTCTCGCCCCTCCCACTTGCTAAGGTGTGTGCTCGTCTGGGAGAGGATTGGAGATGAGCGATTAGGGCAGCGTGCTTTGTGTGGTGTGTGGGAGGGTGGGGATTGGCGTGTGTGGTGGTACGGTGTTTCATACCATGCCAAGTGGAGGGGGGCACCATTCTGCATTGTGACCGCATTGTCTCCGCACGCCACTGTAGGGTAGGTGACTGCTGGATTCATGGTGGACGCAGCCTGCTCGCTTTCTTTGAACACCATGTGCAGCTGCAACATGCCTCTCCGTCCCCCTTCCTCGCTTCTCCTCTGCTGCTCTCCACCTTATCCAGGTCATCCTCGCTCACACGAGCAGCGAATCCCCATCCTACATCTGGTTCCCCATCCTACATCTGGTTCCCCATCCTACATCTGGTTCCCCATCCTACATCTGGTTCCCCATCCTACATCTGGTTCCCCATCCTACATCTGGTTCCCCATCCTACATCTGGTTCCCCATCCTACATCTGGTTCCCCATCCTACATCTGGTTCCCCATCCTACATCTGGATCCCCATCCTACATCTGGTTCCCCATCCTACATCTGGTTCCCCATCCTACATCTGGTTCCCCATCCTACATCTGGTTCCCCATCCTACATCTGGTTCCCCATCCTACATCTGGTTCCCCATCCTACATCTGGTTCCCCATCCTACATCTGGTTCCCCATCCTACATCTGGTTCCCCATCCTACATCTGGTTCCCCATCCTACATCTGGTTCCCCATCCTACATCTGGTTCCCCATCCTACATCTGGTTCCCCTATTTCCGCATTCTTGTGCTACCCTTCCCCTTTACCGCCCCCCTCTCCCCGCCCATTATCCCCATTCCGCCACCCTCTTCCCTCTTTTCCCCCTCCCCCTGTCCACCCACCTCAACTTCACAGATGCCAGCACCGCCTCTCTCACCAGCCTCTGCTTCACTCACTCCCCCTTTTTTTTGCCGTTTTCTGATGCCCTTTTCCCGCCCTCCCCCCACCTCTCACCTCCCCCAGCTCATTCTGACAGACGCCAGCACCACCTCTCTCACCAACCTCTGCACCAACCTCGCCACCAATGCGCTGCCCTTCTCCTCGAGCCCGGAGATTCCTCTCGTGCACCCCTTGCGCCCTCATGGGAGCAAGCGCACAGCAGTCCCGAGTCAAGGCGTCCAGCACAGGGCGCATGAGGAGGAGCAGAGCGCTGAGAGAGAGGAGGTGTGCAAGGGGAATAGGTCAGAAGGGGCCGCAGAGATGCAAGGGTGGGAGGGCGTGGGGGGGGAAGGGTGTGCAGGAGGGAAAGGAGGAGCAAGGGTGCATGTGCAGCAGCTGTGTTGGGAAGAGGTCACACCCGCGCTTGCATCATCCCTCTCTGCTGACGTCATCATTGGTGCTGACATCGTGTACGACCCCTCCGTGGTCCCCGCCCTCGCTGATGCGCTGGCAGCCTTCCTGTCCACGTCAGCGCACAGCGCATGCACGGAGCGCGCCACCTGGCAAGATCAACACCCAGCTGACATGGCCCGTGCTGCTCCCACGCAGCACGCCGGCATCCCTGAACATGTCGCTTCCTCCCCACTACCCATCTCCCTGCCTCCGCCCCCCTATGCCCTCATAGCCTCCACGCACCGCAACCCGCTCACCATGGCATGCTTCCTGCAGGCCCTGCACGACCGTGGGCTGCAGGTGACGGATGTGGCAGTAGAGCTTCTGCCCCATTGTCAATCTCGGCCTCTGTCAAGATGGTTCCATTACTTGGAGCTTCCAGAAGCAGATCGCATGATGCTGCACCTGATTCATATGTGATGTTGTTTGGAGCTTGTGCTTTATATGGTAATGACTTGTTTGCAATGGCCTAGTTGCACGCGGTACTGTACAACTATGATTTTGTTGGAAACAATCGGTCCTAAAGCGCTTCTATCGTGTCGCAACACCAAGGCACAAGCGAAGCAAATCATATCGAGGCACCAGCGAGTCAACCCTCGGAGGTTGAAGTAACCGCTGGAGGTTACGCGAAGGTCAAAGGTCAGCGACCTTTGACTTGACAAATACAGCGCGACAGCAAGGACACGCAACTGACTCGATACTGAGCAGTTGCCCGAGTCGTCACTGTATCGAACCGCAACAGCAACAGTAAAAGTAGTTACAACCGAATCTCTTCGTATTCCTTGTACTCTTATATAATCTTGTATCTCTTTGCTTTAATCAACTTAATTTGCCCTCACATACCAGCGCAAGGTGGTTCAGAATCTTCTCTTAAAACGCTTCCGCTATTACATCATTTTATCTGGAGTTTCATCCTACCAAAGATCCTAAGGGGCATTCAGCCCAACAGATTTAACTGTCACAGCGGTGGTGATCACATGTAAGCCCAGTATGAGGCAGCACAAACGTTTGTCACTACTCCTGGGTGCAAACAAGGTGCTGAAATTGTGTGTCTCCTTTATTTTCTAAACCTTTTTTGTTTTTACAGAATACACCACGTGCTAGAATTGTCATATTCATACAGTTTCGAAGTCCTCCGATTTTCCATTGCAGTACTCTCCACGTTGAAACCTAGGAAACGCTATAGCGATACATTCCAGTTCTTGCTGGGCTTCTTGAGCATGCAAGTATGGGCTGGGCATTGGGCGTGCGGGAAGTATGCTCGCCACGCACGTACGGCAAGTCAGACACGAGTTGACTGGAGCGACTCTGTACACGTCGAAATCTAGTCTGGACTTGTGCTACACGTAGGCATGCTTGCATCAAGAAGCCACCATCGATGTCGTCAACAACATCTCCAATACCGTCGATGGAGATGCTTACGTGGACTCTTCCACGAACCCCTTGTCGCTCACCAGTAGCAGGGTGATTCGGGAAGCACCTGAATCGCTTGATTCGTGAACCAGCCCTGCCAGTTCCTCCCTTTGAGGTGTGATGCATGACGCCGCGCCAAGTGGAATCCACGTCATTGCTGCTACACCAACCGACACTCTCCAGGGCAACGAGTCAGCCTTGAATTTTGGGCATTTATCTTAGCGGTAACAATCATGGAGCTCGATCGCATCCGAGATAAGCCACGTGTACATTTCGTAACAAAGGTATCGTGTCCTCGCCACTGTGGTAACCATAATGCCAAAATGGTCAATATTTTTGCCTGCATGGTAATGAACAGTGCATCCGGAATTCCTGGCTGGTAACTTCGCATTTCAACCAGACTGTACACCGTACAAGTAGGGTTTGACTCAGCGAAACGAAACTGTTTGTCCACGTATATACCAATAGAATGCGCAATTCTCTTGAGTGTACGAACACTTACAAATACAAAGCGTTACGTGCACGTATGCGATACAATAATAGCAAACATCTTAGAATCACTCTGTAAAAACAAAACAAAACGTCATAGGATCAGTTTCATGGTTCAAGTATATTAATGAAATCACACATAACATTCTACTGTAAGATTTAAATATGCATTGCACTATTTCTAGCATGTTCGTATAGTTTTGTTTATGCATTAAATGTATTTTGTAATGTAGAAATAATTAGTTGGTTTTTTATGCAAGTTTTAATACATGTAGAAATAAATATTTTGTTGTTCAAATTTATATTAGAATTGTTTTTAACTTGATCTAGATCCAATTGTAAAGATCCATAAGTAAAATTCTAGTAGAGTAAACTAATGTGTGCCACAATATTCATCACTATGATAGCTTTGCGGTTTGAAATTGTGTTTTTTTTTTGTGGCGCTTGTTTAACAGTTACTGTTTCAGTTTTAATTTTCTTAAAAAGATCACGTTTAGCAATAGCAATGTTTTATCGCTCGGGATTGTAAACGCCGCTACTATAAACAGAAATGCGCATTTTGTAGAATACACGTGGACAGTCAGTTTCGTTTCGCTGAGTCAAATCCTACTTGTACGCTGTACAGTCTGGTTGAAACGCGAAGTTACCAGCCAGGAATTCCGGATGCACTGTTCATTACCATGCAGGCAAAAATATTGACCATTTAGGCATGATGGTTATCACAGTGGCGAGGACACGATACCTTTGTTACGAAATGTACACGTGGCTTATCTCGGATGCGATCGAGCTCCATGATTGTTACCGCAAAGATAAATGCCCTTGAATCTTTTAAGCAAGACACCAGCGTCACCTCACCCCTCCCGAATCCCTCAGCACACCTCTTCGCTCTGGTTGCTCACGACTTTAGGGTTTCCTTTCCGCTTCGACGGCTAGCTACCGTTCGTTCGAAGCTCATCCCAAGCCAGCAGCATACTTTCTATCACTTGGACGCCGCGTTTAACGTCATGGCTGCCCTTGTCCAAGTCGCGCCAGGGTCATGCCTTTCCGCATCGCTCGCACCGTCGGCGGCCGGCGGAAGGAGCACCTCCCAACCAGCGTCGTTAGACTGCCGGCCAGTCTCTGCCGCCTCTCGACTCAGCAGCTGTGCAGTTCGCGCGAAACACCGCGTGCCTCTGCTGAGACACGTGGCAACCTTCCAGGATGACGCGTGTCGATCATTCTACGAGCCGGTACGCTGCAAGAAGGCGGACAAGGAGAGCAAGGGCTTTAAGGAGGCGAAGCGGTCGCTGAAGGCGAAAGCGGCAGTGCTGGAATCGCAGTTCGTCGCCTTGGCCGAAGCCGTTGACTCGGACGAACGGCAGACCGGCGTTGCGACGGCCACCTCGGTTGACGCGGTAAGAGATGACTCTTTGCTTACTGGCGTCTTCGTCATATGTATGTGATCAAAAACCTAACCGGGTCAGTTTCTGATATACCTACCGCACGTGTCGTGTGATCCTTTGCGTGGTGGCAGGACTTCGTGGCGACGGTGCTTCGCGAGCTGAAGGAGATCAAGGCGGAGCTCAAGTCGCTGAAGCAGATGCAGAAGAAGATGATGGAATCCTCCTCCTCCTCTTCCTCCTCGTCCTCATCGTCTAGCAGCGACGGCGGCATGGGGGGAATGAAGGCCAGGCGCATGGAGCGCCGCAAAGCACGGCAGCAGGGCGCCATGGGGATGATGGGGATTGGGGGGAGCGTGGAGGGTTCCGTCGCCACTGGGGCTGCTGCTGCCGGTGCGGCTGTTATCACTGCTCCTGTTGCCGCCGCCGCAGCTCCAGTCGCCGTGCCCCCCGCTCCGTCATCTGTTCAGTCTGCCCCCGCCGCTCCAGCCAATCCAGTGGCGTCGGTTCTCGCCGCACATGCACACGTAGCCTCGGAAACCCCCAAGGTGTGGGAGATCGAAGATGTGGTTTCCGCGATCGCTGGAGGCGCGTCTTTCACCAGCTCCGCGCTGCCCTCCGCCCTCCTAACGCCCGTCCAGCTCCCCCCTGTGCAAACCCCGCCTTCCCCCTCCCCGCTCCCCGCGCCCGCCTCCCCCCTTCCCGCCGCGGCTATTGCGACTGTCTTCCCCGACACCGCGGCCTCGCCGCTGCAAGGGAGCGTGGCGGTGGGTGTGACTGTCGCGGGGGACGTGGAGGTGTGCATTGGCGGGAAGTGCAAGAAGAACGGGGCGGGTGAGATCCTATCCGCCTTCCAGGCGCAGGCAGCGGGAACGGGCGTGCATGTGGAGGCGTGCAAGTGCATGGGCAAGTGCAAGGCTGCGCCGAACGTGAGAGTGTGGCGGGATGATGCGGAAGAGCCTCGGATGGAGAGTTATTTGGCGGTTGAGGATGTGGGCGTATTGATGCAGAGGCACTTCGGCCTGCAGCCTGCTCCCGTGCCTGCTGCTGGCGCTGGAATTATGTGATGCACTGGACAGCTGGAAGGAACTCTTCAATATAGTTGTAACCAAGTGATACGCTTTCGCTGTAAGTAGACTCTCTTAATTGGTGGCTGCATTTGTAATGAAATCCAAATGTGGAGACTTCAGTGATGTGTACTACTGGGACTGATTCTCAATATTACAGTGTGCAGATTATCCTTGCATCTAGAGGTCTGATTCTAGGTCAAGCGTCTTATGCAGACTGGCTTCCATTATTTCCATTATATTCCTGGACCAGTGATTGTTGGTTTATGTGGATTCTTTGAATACAAAATACAAATAAGTCAAGAAGAATCTCAATGGTGCAGTGGCCCATTCCCAAAATCACAATTTGCACTCTCCACACTACCTCAATGTTCTGTCTGAGTAGTGCACCATGAGAGGTTTGGTTATGTGGTATGTGATTCCACAATTCCCAGAATACATCACCTCCACCCCACCCTCTTTCCAAAGATGCTCCAAAGTTATATGGTGAGATTTAGCATTGAAACAACGTTGTAGAAGACCTCGGAGCGGGTCATACTTTCAATTATTATGGTAATTCAGAAAGGTTAATCCTGGTGCGCGATGGTGTAGAGCGGCAAAACGAGAATCACCGCGTCCAGACGTAAATGACCGTATTGAACCGCGTCAGACAGACCCGTATCGAAAATGAATGACCCGCCCTTCACCTCGATGTGACATGAACATGACAGTGGAGTGTTGGGTTGTTGTCGAGGACGCGGCGTGGCTCGATTCGTGAGCCGGAGTCGTATGCGGCTCGGGAGTTTTCTGGGACGTGACGAGGTCTGGTTCTGCTGAAACAGATAGTGGTACAATTATTCATAATTAAGTGTTTCAAGTGTAGTAAATTCAGCGTTCCGTCTTTCAGGACAGCAGGCTTTGACTTCAAGTCCAGCCACGCCTTGGTGGGATGAATTTATGACTTCTGGAGTCGGAACCAGCAGCAACTCCGTCGTCCCCCTCTCATGTCGGGCACAATGGATTTTTTCCCCTCTCGACATTTACCGTAGTTTTTGTGCACTCCGTGGCTGCGCTGAACTCCCCCACTCATCCATTTCTGGTCCGTGCGGGGATGTGCGTGGCAAACGGGTTATCCAGAAAATAACAAGTGTTTCTCCGTGCCGCGACCTTGACCAAAGCGAACCAGGGGGCTGATGATGCGCCTCACATATAACACACTCCAGTTATTTGGGGTTCTCTCAATCAAAGCTCCAGTCACCGCCAAGACTCTGCTTCCACAACATCGTACCTAGCTGTCGCCATGGCCCGTGCTCTCAGCATTTTCATCTTCATCTCAGGTGCTTGAAACAGCCGTAAAGAGCGAAAGCATGTAGCTGTTTTAGCTTGTTTACACCATCTCACCTCCCTTGTCTTTCGTGCGTGCAGCCCTCGTAGTAGGTGCAGCTGCACAATGTGCGACACCCCTACAGGTACGCCTTAACGCCTGCTTTAGACTAGTTTGGCACGCGTGAGCGGGGCTGATTACTTTCTGTTTGCGGGAAAAAAATGCAGGCGTGCGACTTTTACTTCAAGCCTCCACGTGGCATGAAGCCTTTTGTGCCCACGTTCAAGATACGCGCCTCCAATATGAATCTCATGCTCAGCCAAACCTTCATCATGCACAAGTAAGCATCCTGGTCCGTCTTGTTCACCAGCGTGTCGTACACCTCCTGAGCTCCTGTAATACGCTTCGCAATTTTTTATTGGTCCACGTTTTTGCATGATCTTGCGTTATGAAGTCCTTCTGTCTTGCTGTTTCCAGGTCGGGTGACGTCGTGCTATCCACGAGCAATAACAACGAGTACAACGGATGCATTATGACGCCAGTGAGTACCCAAATTAGAAGATCGAGATGAGTGCTGACGCCGTAACGTCAATTAGACGACCATTTTAGATGACGGGTCGTCTCTTGTGTGCTAGCAACAATTTGGCCATGGATTCCCACTTACCACTCTTCATAATGACTCGCATCAATGCAGAGAACGGACTGGCGTACGTGTGATAAGGTGTTTCTGTTCAAGGGAGCGGGAAACGGGCCCAGCTCCTACGTCAACACCAACCTCGTCGCCATGTACCCCGTGACCCCCGACGTCGTCCCTGTAAGTTCGATAGACATAACTACCCAGTTACTATGAGTATTGCATGTGTTCTGTTTCTTGCTGGAATCGCTACAACCTTTGACATGGCTATATGTCGATTATTCTTGAAAAATTCTTGCAGTTGTATAAGAATAGGTGCATCGTGCTGCGGATGGACAACACTCGTCTCGCCCGCAGCGGCTACCTCAACAGCGGTGATACCCGCATGAGATTCCCTGAGGTACGTGGCACTAGAGAATGGCAGCTCTACTAGTCCGTTCATGTGAGCTGTCTGAAAAGTAGACGTCAATCAGCACGCTTGCCCGAGTATAAAGTCCCACTAACCCAAGTCATTTACTGTTTCCGTCTGATTTTCTCCCGTGCTGTCATTTTCATTCACTCCCAGCAACGCCGCTGCATTGTTTTCAAGACCGCGTAAGTAGAGCGTGCGGCGCTGGCGAGTGCATGGTAACCATACACTGTAGGAGTATCAAATAAGTGGCAGCATCTGGTTCCGATCAGTTGGGAAACTCACACTTTCTGCAGGACGGCTTCGCGTGTCGTATCTGCATGCAGCTTTGATACGCAACTTAGACTGGCATACACTTGAATGTCCTAGGACCTAGCTTGTAGCCTTGGTTTGAATGTTCTTTAATCCGTGCTTCCAAGGATCATATTACGACATCGTTGGGCAATAGCGGAGCGGTTTGTGGCACGATATAAGGTTTCACGGATCACAAGGCAATGGCAGAAAGCTGCGCTTGAATGCAACGGTAGAGTAGAGGAGAATAGTAGAGAAGACCTTGTGAAACCATGGGCACGCGTCTATTTTTGTGGGTCGTTGGTGGGCTCATAACGTGCAAGAATGCGCTAGTTTTCCAGTCCGTGAGACACAAACGTGCTTCATGAACGGAAAACGCAGCAGGATAAATGAAAGATCCAATCCAGGATGGCAATTTATATGCGTAATTGCATTGCAACAATGCATGACACCTCAGAAGTTGAACAAAACAAAATTGCTCTGTGGGGGCAAAACTTGTACGGTATACTGAAAGAGATACCGTCATACCCCGGATATAAGCGCCACCCTCGGATAAGCGCCTGGCGCTTTTAATTGGCGTGTGGCGCTTATATCCCCTGCTCGATTATAAGCGCACCCCCTGAAAAAACTTGTTTTATTATAAGCGCACGTAAACTTATTTTTTTGAAATGTGTTCAAAACACTTTAACGATTTCTACTTTAGCAGGCAGATGTTTTGCAGATTCGGTTCCCTTCACATTCGGACCCTGCACTGGATTCGGGTCCAGTCAGCAGGAGCTGTCATGAGTTGTCAGGAGCTGGATGTGAGGCAGATTGGGTGTACCTCCCTGCGCGCGCGAGAATTTCACAGACGACCCCATGTAACTTCGTCTCGATTGAAAAGGCAAGCACGAGATCTACAGCATGGTGTTCAAAAATATACAAAAACATATATTTCGTTTTATAAACGCCGGCGCTTATAAATTTACTCGATTATAAGCCCACCCCCCTAAAAAACCTGCTTTATTATTGCCCCCCATGGGGGTATATCCGGGGTATGACGGGTATTATGAGCCATACGAAAACAAGACGTACTTTATATTGCAATCATTCTGTTTTATAAGCCATTTTGCAAAAGGTGCTATGAACTGTTACGATGTGAAGTTTTATGAGAAGGCATTCCTGTATGCTGCAGGAGCCGACTCTACCGAGTACGAAGTTGAGGAGTCAGAAGAGCCGAAGCGACACAGCAACTGTCAGACCAAGACCGATGCAGGCAAAAACAGTTACAGTGAAAAGAGCGGGAACAGGTTGTAAACGGGTTCCCGCTGTTGGGAACACTAAGTCCTAAGCGCCTCTGTCGTGTCGAAACTCAGGACACTAGCGAAGCAGTCCGAATCGAAGCATCGCGAGTCAACCCTCGGAGGTTAGGGTAACCGCCTGGAGGTTACGGGAAAGTCAAAGGTCAGCGACCTTTGACTCGACAATTACAGCGCGACAGCAAGGACACACAACTGACTCGACATTGAGCAGTTGCCTGAGTCGCACTGTATCGAATCGCAACAGTAAAACTGTTTAAACTTATCTATTCGTATTCTTTGTACTCTTATATAAACCTTTGTATTTGCTTGTTTAATCAACTCACTTTACCCTCACATACTAGCGCAAGGTGGTTCAATCACTCTTTATTTCAACGCTTCCGCTATTACAATCCTACTCAGACCTTAAGCTCTACAAACATCCTAGGGCTTCTCAGCCCAACATGGTATGAGAGCAGTTAGAGTTTAAAGGTTATTTTTTCTCTCAACACTCAATACAAAGAAATTAGACATGTCTGCAAGGAAGGAGAGGAGCTCCTCCAACGGCTCTCCAGGCACTACTCCTACTCCACCTCCTGCCTCTGGCCTACAGACAGAGGAAGGTACTACCGCGAGACCAGCAGTTGGGTCCACGGAAACACCCGCAGGCTTCGATCCAAACATGAAGGAGAAAATTTTCCCCTTCATGCCCTTCTACGAGCAACACCAACAAGGAGTGCCTGCGCAATCAAACAACAGCAACAACAACAACGTTATTCCGATGAGCCTCGACGGCTCATCCTACGCACGCGGGATTCAACAACAACAACAGCAGCCTACCTTTGCGCCGTACGAGCCCCAACGTGGCTCCGTCAGCTTCATGCCGCAACCGCAACCTGCATCGGGACAAGAAAGGACATTGGATGCGTTACAAGTCCAATCGCAATTCGCGCATGTCCTAAAACTACAAACGACAAAGCCTTTCGACGGCAAAGATTTCTTCACCTGGTCGTTCGAGTTTGAACTGATGATGGAAGGAGCACAGATTCTCGGCTTCTTCGACGGATCCCTGCCATATCCAACAAACGGGACACAATCTGAGAAGCAGCAATATTCATATAAATCGATGATGGCGTACACGATTCTGCTGAGGAACATCACCCCATGTGAAAGAAAGAACGAGAATGAGTGAACTATGAATGAAGTGAGTACAAATATGAAACCCTAATTGGGTTGTACCCCCTCTGGGATACCCCACTATAGCCTACACAAATAAGTAAGCTATAATGTTCTGACACACCCCCATAGGCAAAGTGGGGGAGAACAAGGGGTCACAAGACCAGTCAAGCAAAGCAAAGCAAAGCTCAGGGTAGATCACAAAGTCACCACACATTCCGAGCACAAGTTCAAGGGCCACAAGGCCAGTTCACATGCAAGATCATATATAGAGATATACAAGAGTCAAGCAAACAAGAGCAAGAGTAAATATAGGTCAAGGTACAAGCAAGGTCAAGAAGTGAGCAAGTGAGGCAAGACAGGCACAAGACCTAGCTGCGTGCAGCAACGCTGATGATCACAAGGCGCAAGTGCCTTGGTGAAGACATCAGCAGTGTTGGCCTCAGAGGCCACGTACGCAAGTCGCAACTGTCCACGCTGCTGTAGCTCACGAGCAAGAAAGTAGCGGAGAGCAATGTGCTTTGTCCTGTGCTCCAGTCGCTGCTCTCGACACAAGGCCAGCATGGCCTTGTTGTCTACGTACAGGACTGGAGGAGAACGAGGCGGCTCTCCAAGGTCGGTCAGCAGGTAGGTGAGCCAGCGAAGCTCCTAAGCAGCCATAGCCCCGGCGTAGATCTCAGCCTCACAACTGGAGCCGAGAACAGAAGACGAGCGGGTAGCCCGCCACGAAACAGAGCCGGAACCAAGGCCGAAGGTGTAACCCTGTGACAACCGCTGCGTAGCCTGGTCGTCAGCCCAAGAAGCGTCCGCGTGCCCAGTGAGGACCACTGGACTCCGCCCTCCAAGCACTAGCCCCATGCCCGACGTACTGCACAAGTAGCGCAACACCCTCTTCGCTGCAGCCATGTGCTCTGGTCGGTGTCTCCCAGGAGCAACATAGCGTGCGAGAATGCTGAGAGGGTATGCAAGGTCAGGTCGTGTGCAGGTCATCAGGTACATGAGGCAGCCAACAAGCTCTGCATACGGGCCACTCGACTCTACGGACTCATCCGAAGGCAGAGCTGAGAGCGAGTGGCGAGTAGGCAGAGGAGTGGCCTGAGGCGAGGAGTACGTGAAGCCGAAGCGCTGAAGGACCTGCTGCACCATGTGTGACTGAGTCAGGGTAATGGTGCGGCGTGCTCTGTCCCGGGTGATCTGCAAGCCAAGGTAGCTGCGCAGTTCACCAAGGTCAGTGCACGTGTGTCTCTTCTGCAGCTCGGACTTCACGTAGGCGAGTCCAGCAGTGTCAGCTGTGGCAAAGACCAAGTCGTCGACTTACACGAGGATGTAGAACGGCGGCAGAGAGGTGTCGGTGCGCAGAAACAGCGACGGGTCGGCAGTAGAAGGAGCAAACCCAAGTGCCGCAAGCGTAGTCCTCAGTGTGTCGTGCCACTCACGTGGCGCCTGGCGGAGACCGTAGACTGGACGCCGGAGACTCCACTGGGTACCAGGAGGGAAAGACCCAGTGAAGCCAGGTGGGCGACACAGCCAGATCTCCTCGTGCAGGCTGCCCTGCAAGAAAGCAGTGCTGAAGTCGAGAGAGTGCAGCTCATAGTCACGGTGAGCAGCAACGTGCAGCAGTACCCGAAGAGTGGTCATCTTCGGGGTGGGGGAGAAGGTCTGAAAGTAGTCAACTCCCTGCCGCTGACTGAAGCCACGAGCCACGTAACGCGCCTTGAAGACAGGCGGAGAACCCGGCGGCCGCTTCACCCTGAAGATCCACATGCCACTGAGGATGTTCGCCCCAGGAGGGGGAACAGCGTCAACGTAGGTGCCTGTGGACTTCCAGGAAGCCATCTCTGCATCCATAGCTGCCTGCCACTAAGAGGAGTAGGGACCCTCTATCGCCTCCGCGTAAGAGCGCGGAGTCGGGATGTCTAGTGCATCCGGGTCTCCCTCAGGGGCGAGCAGTACAGACGCGAGATGAGGTGAAGCGGCGGCCAGACACTGGAACTCCTCCTGCCTGTCCTCAAGGACGTCCGTGCCTAGGGCACACTCACCCCCGACGGACGGAGGACAGGCAGACTCAGACTCAACGACAAGACTAGCAGCGTAGTCTAGACGACAGCGCGCAGCAAAGTCGACAAGCTCAGTGACAAGGGCAGACGCAGCAGAAGACTCGAAGGAAGGGTCAGTGACAGCAGTAGCAAGGAGACGCGTGACAGTGGGACTGGCAGCACAAAGAGAGTCCGACTCCGGGTCAGGAAGAGCAGGAAGAGAGGACTCAGGAGGAGAAGGCAAAGGGGCACGCAGAGGAGCAGTGGACGGACGCAGAGACATCCGTGGGTCACCACAAGAGGCCCCTACAGCGACTATGCTCTTCTCGGCCGCTAGCAGGGACTTCTCAAGGAGGTCGACAGTGAGGGTGGTGGGACAGACAGAGAGAAACTGGTCCCTAACAGCACG